ATGAAACCAAACATTAAAAAGATAAAAAAGTTAAGAAATCCAAGAGGCCGCTGGGGCCACAACATACCACTAAGGGGCCAACCAACCCCAATTCTGATTCCTTCCCTCCCTGCCCCAGGCCAAATGGCATAGCCATGTCTTTAAGTCCCTCTGAAAGGCCTGGAGTGAGGGGGCCTGTCTCACCTCCGGGGGCAAGATGTTCCACAGGGCGGGGGCCACAGCAGAGAAGGCCCGCCGTCTGGACTCCGCTAATCAGAATTCTTTTACCGCGGGGATCCGAAGCATGTTATTACTATGGATAAAGGTTAGGTGACTGGCAATGACTGGCAACAAAGGCAGGATGGAGAGTGCCGATAGGAATAGCAAGGATGGGTAGTTAGCCACCACAATTTTGGGAAGGGGCCAAAGACATTCATAAAGCTGATAGTTAAAATGTTTTTTGAGAAATTTTTATCCTCATGAAACTGCTTTCAGCAATATCTTAGGGCAGAAGGATTTATCCTTCACAACTGTATCTTCATGTATAATAGCACTATTATTTTTTCCTGTTCAAATCAATAAACAATCTTTAGTTTTATGTAGAAAAGCAAAGATAAGGTGTGCAAAGGCCCAACTTCCAACTTAACTTGCCATTGGACTTGGAGTCTAAGGAAATTGTTCTTCCATTTTTAATTATAATCCCATTTCTCTTTTAAATGCTTATTGTTATATTGTTTTGCTAATATAGGTGGGTATGAGGTAATTAAACTAGTTAAACAATTATGCTAAACATAAGAATGAACTGTTCACTCAGTACTGGGCCTTATTGGTATGTTTCATGGGTTTGATATACTTTCTCATTAAAATAGTCATTGATGCAAAATATTACTCAGTGCTAATTTTGTCAGGAAGATATAATTACGTTTGCTTCAAAAGCCAGATAAGACAGGAGATTATCCTTACAGAATGAAATATTTGTGGAGGACTACAAACTATTCATATTTTATTTAAAATGATTTATTTAAAAATTGGATCTTAAGCATGATTAATAAAAATATTAAAGCTTAAACTGGTATTGGAACTTGTAATTCAGCTGGTTATTTCTTTGTGTTAGAGTGTATATGTATGTATACATATACATACAGTTGTCTTCTTGTTATGAATGGTGTTGTAATTGAAAAACATTATTGTATAAGAAATACATTCTTTGGATAAGATAAGGGAAGCCCAAAGTGTAACAAAGTTAGGGCTTGGTGAATCATGTATTTTAACCAGATTAACCAGGGATACCTGGGACAATTATAAATAAAACGTAAAACCAAGAAACGAGAATTACAGGAGCAAAAAACAAACTTCCATAGAATTTATATATAATAAAATGTACAAAATCTCATAATTAAAAAGGCCAGTGAACTGTCTTTATTGTCTGTCTAAACTTCCTTTCAGCACAATGTGTCACAACAGTGGTGCAGCTTCGACAAAGATTTTACCCACTAGTCTAACTTCTTAGGTATTGGATATTAGCCACTAATTAATTACAAGAGTAATTTATGGAAAAAGCTAGTATTTAGGAATTCTTGACATCAGCCAGGAACATTTGTTAGCAATTACTGTGCACATCAGAGACTGCTAAAACATAAAGCATGTATAAAGTGAGGACAGAAGAAATCTGAGTGATTTCCATTTCCCTCCTTCTGTATTTATAAAAGTGAATTTGATTTGCAGCTTTCTAGTGCATTAGAGCCAGAGAAAGAGGAAGTATCAACTTCTTGCTTTGTATTTCCCAGTTTATGTTAAAATAAATACTGTGAATTCTTACCTGGAATTTGTGTTAAAATAAATAAATAAATCCTTACCTGTCATTTTAAAAGTGTAGACATTCTATTTTTATGGACCTTTTAGTTTTAAAATGCCTTACTTTATATTATGAAATTGTGGTTAATTGTAATGTATTATTGTTTCAATTCTTATTTTATTCTGCACGTAATAAAACCTGCTACTAAGTACTTCTAGTTCAGTTCTATGAGTGATATTTCAGATTTTTTAATATTTTCTTTTAGTTTCTTGCTTGGTTTACAGTTATCCATGGGTCCCCCTTACCCAGCCACCAACTGAAGCTCTGGCCTCACAATTAGTTAAATTTCAGTTTCTGTGACCTTGTCAACAACAACAATAACAAAAAGTTTTCGAATATCAAATTATGCCCATTTACACCTGAACAATCTTACTGTTTTTAAATTATGACATTAGTGCCACATGGGCAACTCTGTTGTTTTTCAGCAGATTTTCTTTTGCCTGATTAAGTCAGTAAATAATCTTTTGGTGAAATGTAATATGAACTGTCATTCTTTTTTCTCTATTACCCTCTGCATTGGCTTATTCCGTACAGCAGGAAAAATGTATGGTAGTTAAAAGTCTTTATTTGTTAGTTGTGTTTTGTAGGAAATTAATTAAATTAATGTCTATTCTTGCCAACATTTATTGTTACTTTTACAGAAAGAAGTTAATGAAACATTGATGCATAAAAATCTAGCATAAACTGTAAAAGTGAATTTAATTAACTGAAAATTATTATTTTTGCATAATTAATTACATTGTTTTTTAAAAGGGAAAGCAATTGGAATGAGGGGAATGAGACATTAATTTCAATTTTGACCGATATATTTCCTCATTCAAGATATGAGTTAGATTCAGATTATCATCTCTCTCCCCCACAAATCTGCAGAAGTCTTTGAAAATGCTTCCTGTTGACTTCCTGATTTGGGTGGACTGTGGCCTATGGGGAAAGAGGGAATATTATGGAAAATCAGGTGGAAGAATAGAAGCCAGAAGTTCTAACAGCTTCCTTTTGGATGAAATGGAGTATATTCCACATCTAAAATGTTATAGCATTATGTGTCCCTGGTTGATTATTTATTTATTGGTTCTATACTAACATTCTGAATATTAAAATAGTAACCCCCCCCCCAAAAAAGCCCAACCATAAATTCTAAAATATTAAATCTATTTAACACTGCCTAGAGTTGTACAAAATAAAGGCAGGCTATATATCGAATGAAATTTATTTATTTATTTATTGTAAAGATTTATATAGCCGCCCATCTTAAAACAACTCTCGGTGGCTTACAACCAATAAAAAAGTATAATAGTAGTATAAAAATAGCAGCAATAAAAATAAAAACAGAAAAACCTGGTGCCATAGCCACACTTCTCTAATTCACCCACATCTTCATCCCACCCTGGTCTCACCCTATCCCAACACCTGGACCAGGTTTTAAGTGCTCTCCAGAAGGACAGAAGGGTGGGGGCTGTCAGATCTCAAGGGGAGGATGTTCCATAGGATAAGGGCTGCAACAGAAAAGGAATAGTAAATAAATAAATACATAAGCACTTGTTAGCAGAGCCTGAAGTGGAGTCTTCAGTACATTGATTCAGATATGAAAGCTTAAGTGTTATTGAAAAAAAGATGTCTTCTTTAATAAAGGAAGACATTCTATGGGATATTTGATTTTTCATCAATTTCCTCTGAGATCGTTCAATTCATGCAATGCATTGTGCACCAATTATATCAGGTATTAATAATTTTTAGGAATGATATTTACACAAGTTGATATTCCTCTAATAGGTATAGCTCCCTACTACACAAATACACTATCTGCTTTACCACTTGCTCTCTCTCATCATTCTCTTGTCAATTTATAACTAGAGAGAGCTATTTTTAACCAGTTTATTGCTGTCCCATTTGTTAAATGGGGTATAATGGATAAAATCGTTGTGTTAAAAATAAAGTATCCCAAATTTTAACAAGATTGCAAGTAGAAAAAATTGCATTTCTAAAGATTTCTTAGAGAACATTAGTTAATACTACAGTGCCATTCATTATATCATGTGTATAATTATATGTATTATATAATTTTAATAATACATCAAGGCATGGCATCCATTATTTCTGAACTGTGGGTATTGAATATCACAATATATTTTGTTAGTATCCTGATGAATAGTCTTTGCCTATTGATAGTTACTTTTGTTTTAGACCTATTGTGTAACAAGCATGGTAATTTGTAAAATAAATCCCTATGCTAAAATGTGTAAATACATTCCTCCCTGCCATTAAGTATCTATGGTTGTCTTGCAACTGTCCATTTGACTTTTGCATTTGGTCATAGATACATGGAAAATATTTTACTATTCTTTCATTATGGAAGCTAAGTGATATTCATACGGTTCCATTTAGATTGTCCAATCCCATTCCTACTTCAGCAAAAGAATTCAGATGTGCTGCACAAGAACTCTTGAAATGGAATCTCCAAAGGCTCTTTTAACAAGCTTTGGTCACACAGAATAGTTGGGGGCACTAATTGAAAAAAAAAAGGATGGTTAAAGGTCTTATAGCTTCTATTTGTGTCATTAAAAATGTGTGACATTGTTTAATTGATTAATTAAAATTGAAAAATGAACATACTGAATTTACCAAGCCTGATAAA